TGCTCGGATGTTTCATGATTTTATCAGAAACATGTAGAACGTGTACGATGTCAGCGTGTTTGTGTCAGGTGTTGTGCATGCCCTAGTTCCACCACGCCATCTTCGGGATATGTGGGGCAGCCTGTTTACAGGGCCTCCATATTTTCATGTTGCGATTGCTCGGCCACCCGGAAACAAGAAGCCAGAAGCGGACGCTTTTTGCTTTGGGATGCAGCTGAAGCAATCGGGTTCACAGTCGCAGAGCCGTCCGGACTTCAATGCGATTTCTATGTGAGCTGCTCTGGATTGCAGTCTTGCTAGTAGCTACCAGTACGGGCGGAACACCTTTGCGACCCAGAGTATTTCCAGGGCACCCGCCACGACTCTGGAAGAGGTATCGAAAGCTCAGAACTCCTGTGCCTTGCTTGAGACCTAGAGTCCTTAGAGTCCTAGACACCCATAGAGGTTCAGCCGCCCGGCCAGGTGGCCAGCCTTGTACTTCGGGCATGGAGGCTCAGGTTGGATTCTCAGAAAGCTTATAGCGACATGTCACATGACCGTTAGGTGTTCACTTGCAGTCGAAGGCTTGACTAGATGCAGCTGCTGCAACAGCACGCCTCCCTTGCACACTCCCACAACTTCACTCAGTAGCAGGGGCCCGTATGTGATCAACGTGTGACTTTGTATGTCTGCACCTTCCGTGCAACTTCTGAGTTTATTGCTATTTTGGAGTTGGCTTCTGTTTCTCAGTCCAGAGTTTCCAGCATCTTGCCTTCGCAGGCTTCAACTGAAGGCTCTTGCATTCGTGTGATCTGGACCGTACTTAAGCGGGCAATGGTTTGTAAGCAGCTTGGTTTTGCTCTCTGACTTTCAGAGCAGGTTGCCCCTGCATCCACACCCTTTAACTGCGAACTCTGAATCCTGAGATGCTGGGAACCAAGGTGAGCACCTAACATATGGAAACCGAGTTTCAAAGTTGCGCTGAAGGCTATGGTGTGAGCCGTGGCGCTCTGGCAGCTGTGGGCGCAGCGTCACCCGCTTGCCTCGCACGGGGTCCCATCCGTGAGGCATGTATCTACGCTTCAAGCTTCAAGCGAGGGCCACATCCATCCTGTGAGCCGTCGTCATAACGAGCCGTTTACCTGCAGTATCTGGCCTGCCTGTGGAATATCTGAAATGGGAAGATGAATTGCACATCTCCGAGTTTGTTCTTGCTAGTTACTAGTGTCAGCCAGCATTTGAATCCATAGCGCCAGACTAGTCAGTTTCTTTTGGTTCCCTGGGCCTTGTTCCCACCAAGACGGCTTCGAATTGGCTTCGGATCCAAGGGTCAAATATAGGGTCCAAGCCATACCAAGGAAGACATGATGTACATGACCCAGGGCGATGCCATGGAGGATTGCACATCCAGTGAGGGTTGATGTGTTCTTGCGACTGCTCGCTGCCGATTGCAGCAAGTAGTTGGAGCCTCATACTGAGTAGGTCTTCAGAGTTGTAGCATCCGGAAGCCCATGTGCATGTCATATGGGCTTTGAGAGTTCTCTGTTTAGCCAGCCTCCCGCGCTCGTACATGAGGACGTGATCTTTGCGCTGTGCCTGAAGCGCCAGCTCAGCTTGCAGGCTGGCTTAGAGGAACTTTTGCATCTCCTCTTTTGCACAGAGTCATGAAGAGGGTCACGCATAGCAGCAGCCACTCCGAGACAAGCAAGCAGCGACAAAGAGCAGGGGAAATAGTCGTTGACACTAAAATCCCGCTTGGCATTAGCATGCTAGCATACTAGAATGCCGTCGTTGCCAAGGGATGTATGGTATGAACCATATCGCCGCATACTTGCGTATGGATCAAGTTCGCAGACAGCCTAGTTTTGACATGTGCCAGACACAGCGGATTGGGCAGGTGTCGAGTTATGGCTTTCTGCTGCCCAGCTCGGCGCGTGGCAGCCTGGACTACGACTCGCAAGTCATGAAGCAGGATCTCACATCCCAAGACCCAAACACCCAACAAAAAGATCCTGGAACCAGGCAGGTTGATCTCATGCTCACAGGCTGCGCATGTCAGGCTTGGCTCCAAATCCAGGAGAACAAGCCATTCCTTATAAAGCCTTGTGAGGCTATCCCAACATATCCCTGAAAGATGAGCTGTGCTGCAGCAGGAGTTCATTGTCAACTTTCACCAGGCGAGGGATGAGCTCCTGGTCACCCAGTTGCATCTCAGCATCGCTGCTGTTTTAATCTCCTTCGACATTCTGACATCTTTGTTTCTCAAGATTCTGGACTTAGCTCCAAATGCTTCAATCTCGTTTCAACCTCAATGGGGAACCTGCCGTTCCTTCTTACTGATTCGTGGCTTTCTACAAGATTGTGAAACACTGACCTTGCGGCATGTGTGCGTAAGAATGACCATTCCAGAAATCTTGACATAGAAGCAGTGTGGCAAGCACATGCCGTTGAGAGAACGGTTGTCACCTAGGATGTCCTGCCGCTAAGGCACATGCCGAAGGCTGGATGCGCCCTGAGATTCGGGAAATCTTGCAATCGGGCTGAGCACTGTTTGATGACATCTCACGAAGGGGGCATGATAGGCCTACACCTCCTCTTGGAGGTGTAGGCTTCCACCGCGATCCCACCAAACTCCATAGGAATGCTTTTTGTCAGGCCAACCACTGCAGCGGTTCATCCATTGGGATGCGCAGCCTCCGCCCCTCCACGGCTGTGCTGGCCTTGAGCGCGATCCGCTGGGCGAACCGTTTTGTAGGTATTATATACGCCTTTTCCTGACTTGATTCAGCTTTGCTGTTGTTGAGTTGTATAGCACATTTCCTGCCGAGTGATGACTCTGTTTATCGCGGTCGCATTACAAGTCTATACAGTTTGAGCCACAGGTCTTATCGTGGCGCATCCATTGGAAAATGAAACGGACTTTCACAAGGCCGTGCTCACTGCAGGTGACATAGCGGTTCGCTCCAATGTTTTCGATGCCAGGGGATGAATGTCACAGTGTCTGCTGTAAGGAGAGCGGTAGGAGCGACCCTGAAGCGTGGCTGCCGCTGTGAAAACAGCAAGAAATAAGAAGGATTTTGTCCTCTCCCGGTGCATAGTCGCCCACAGCAAGGCTGCATGAAATGCCTGCAATATGCCAGGTTCATTCTGCTGTGGTCCGCGACGCCCTTTTGCAGGCGGCCCACCTTGCAGAGGCCTGGGCTAAAATAGGGGGGGGTTTCCGCATTTTTGGTTTGGAGAAGAGGGGGGGGGAGTGGAATAGTCAGGCTTTGGCGGGGAACAGGTACTAACAGGTACTGTTTCCCGTCTCCACATCCTCCGGAGTCTACTTCTGCTTGTAGTCTGGGAATTGTGCTGTGGTGGCACCATCCCCCAACTTCGGGAACTACTTCAGAACCGGAATCCTTCAAAATCATACAAGTAAAGTATCACAGTAGTTCACATGAGCACGCAAGCAATGTGAGAAGTGATGCCTGGGTTCCAAAACCAACAGCAACAGCAGTGAAACCAAAAACGCTGCTACGGAGGCGTGTGGCCCCCACAGTTAAGCAGGTGCCTCGTATGCCGCCTCCACAACTCGTCATGGGCAGTCGGCCGGGTCGTGCACAATGTGATGCGCTCTCAGACTTTTGTTGTTCAGACCTGTTCAGTCCTTACTATTTGGATTCTCCATGCCGAAAGCCAGCGAGCGAAGTCACAGAAGAAGAAGAAAAAGGAGAAGAAGAAGAAGAATGAGAAGAATAAACGATAAGAAGAAATAAGAAGAGTAATCATAAGAGGAAGACCCAAGAGGAACAAGTAAGCAGAAGAAACAGAAACGGAATTAGAAAATCATAAGAATAAACTCAAGTAGTAGAAGAATAGTAAGAAGAAGACACACGTGAGTAATAAGAAGTAGACGTAGAGGTAGGAGTAGGCGAAGGTTCATGTTAAGACAAATAAACAGAAGGAGGAGTAAACGAGCAGTGAAGAAGCGAGGTTTGGATTGACAATTGACCATGACATTTGCTCGTGGTCAGTCGTAGTGTGCCGACTTCTACAGAATCTCGGAGTCTGAGACAATCAATGAAGCTGCGTACTGCTCAGTACCCTTGAGCCGGGGCACGGTAGCTCAGAAGATGTGAACGTTGTGGTTGCTGGAGTGCGCAGGTAGAAATGTCCCCTACACACAGCGTAGACGCGTAATGCATCACACAGCACAATGAAGGCTCCCAGCTCTCTCGAAATGAATGCCATTAGTCAGTGCTTTTTACGGTGAAGGGCTGCATCAGAGAAGAAGGAGGGCTTCGCTTGACTGTCTTCTCATGCATGCAGAATTCCGCTGCCATGAGGTGCTCACGGGCACTGTGCAAGACTGGGCAAAAAATTCTTAGAGCGAACAGCCATGCATTCTGATTCTACGAAGCTCTTTAATCCAAACAGATCAATCATAGCCAGGTGTGAGGTAGAACAGCAACTAAGCGAATTGAACAGATGGTGTCAATTGCGTTTCTCGTAAGACCATTCGCGTTGCCTATTCCGGTCTATCGTGTAACGGCATAACTTTTGCATTGCGACCAGCAGATTGCAATCTGTAGCAGCACAAGTGAAATCAGTGCAGACCTCCGCCTGGGCTCGCACAGCTGTGGCAGATTTCGCAGCCGGCCATCTCTGAGCCGAAGCTGAGGTGTAAGGCTGAAGATGGGGAGCGCAGCATATATAGATGTAAAGTTTTAGGAACGTTCACCACTTGAATTCCAGCACAAGCTTCTGCCCAGACCCAATCATGTGTTCGGTGCCGGCCATAGATGCCCCATGAAAAATTGCAGCTTCCCTAAGTGGCCAGGTTTTGGAAGGGCACGCCTTGTGTTAGGCTTGAGCTTCCAAACAGAAAGGGTAAAGGTTTGGAGCCCAGAATCAGTCCCGCTTGCGCAAAGGATGCTTGAGAGCTCCTGTGTCCTAGAATTCAAGTCTGCACCTGTGCCAGAGCGCCCAATCCAACACCAACCTAAACCCTACACGGTCACCTTGCTCCAGAAGGAATGGCAACACTGGGCTATCGCGACTCGGGCTCCGTTGTGCTGTCTAAAGCCGAGGCCCTGCGTCAGGCACATGAGAAGGCGGACGGGGTTTTGGAAATTCTGGATCCAAGGGCTGCCCAAGGGCTTCTGGGCGTTCAAAAGGACAGGAACTTTGGACTCGCAGGGTCTGGCTTTGGCCAAAAAAGCTTGCAATTGGCTATCTGAGCCCACAAGCAGCATTGAGATGGATGAACGTTGTCTGCAAATCGCATATAGCTTGGAGCAGATGTGAGGCTTTTCGTTCAGCTTCCAAAGGCTTTGATTGTCTTGGCTTACTTAGGTCGGTTTATGCAGTGTATAGCGCAGAGGCATGAATTAAGCCCTGGTTCAATCAAGTACAGGCTAACGCCATATTTTATGTGCTTGAGGACAACATGCTCAATGCTACGTCTTCGGTTATTTTAATTAGTCAGGCAAGGGGCCTGGGCTTGGCAGGGTTTTCGAATCAATTCACCTTCAGGGTGCCTTGCAGGACCTAAGCCTTACGCACTTCAAAAGAAACATGCCCAGCCAGGATGGCGAGCGTTCGCGCATGATGGTTTTCTCGAAGAGGCAGAGCCCTCCCAGGAGCGACTTCACCCGCTGTGGCACTCCACTTTCATAGAGCTACCAGGAGTGTGCTTTTCATTTGCCACACTCCTTCAAGGGATCGGAATTAAGTGCCACAAGTGTTGTTTACCGTGAACAGGACTTTGGCTAAAAAGGAGTTTCTCAGGCCTAAAATCATGCTACAAGTAGGCACAGTTGGATGGATGTCGGTAGTGAATAACATACAACACGCGGAGCCCCCTTGTTGCAATGAAGCAGCTACAGAAATCCTGTTTGGACTCAAGACGATTTTGGCGGAGCCGTGAAGCGTTCACGTGCAGGTGTTGATGGACTGCTGGTTTGGGCATAGACATTCTGCTGGTATGGTTGAGAATGCCTCTGAGAGGGCCCGACTCTCAAGTCCATGCAAGGAAGCGGAAGGATGAGCGAGAGGAGCGCGACAAGGAAGAAGCAGCTGAGTTTGAAATGCATCCCGGCCAGAGATGGGTGAGGTAGCTATTGTAGCATGTTTCGCTAGCACATTCTTGTTCAGATTCCATTGGGGGGTGATGCGAATCTTGCTGAGACTTCCACACTTCGTGCGAAGAAGACAATTTTCATCTTGGTGTTCAAGCAAGGTTTGGGGTCCCAGCGGAAAGAGGGGAGGGATGATCATCAGCGAATTCCACATCTTGCGGTATCTCACGTTTTGCACAGAGACTGACTCGCCAAGTAGGACTATGACCAAAGGCACGTCGGCCAACTGGTAAACTCTGTCGTCACCAGGGGTACGTACCACTCGGGCCAGACTTTTTGAAGGGCTGTGAGATGTTGCGAGCCTGAGCCGTCTGCAAGCTAAGGAAGCTGGCAAACATTATCCAGAAGCGCCCGGACAAGCGCTTGAAGTGGCTCCAGAAGGGCATGCTGCTGATTGGGAGGAGCGCTACTGGCTTCTGAGTTCCTGAATTGAGGGTTGCTAGGTGCAGTAGAAAGGCAGCAAAAAGTGAATATACACTTCAGTGTGAGCGGATGTCGTAGATTGGAGTCCTTACCTCGAGTGTTGAGGTTCTTGTGGTTGCTTAGGCTGCGGGACGCCGGGGTGTCCCTTCCAAAAGCGTGTACATATCACATTCTTACTAAGCAGGCTGGATCACCTGTTGGTGGCCAGCAGAGGTTGAGCCTGGACATGTGGTAGACTGAGGGGGCTTGCAGTTCAGGTGAAATCCGTCTCAAGCCCAGAGGTCCAGCTGACAATTTCCGAGCTCCCAAACAGTGATCCTGCAATCCGCTACCCATGTCGCTGCTCAGGAAGATGATCAAGGCCTCCGACTTCTATGAATTGGTCATGGCCACGTCCTCGTTCGATGGCCGTGTCTGTGGTTTATGAAATGTTTTGGCTTGTTGGGTGCAGTAGGGCTAGGTGTCATGTGTGAAGCTTGCTTCTGGGGGCCATATCTAAGGACAAGACTTTCATCTCAGACGTGCCTGCCGAACTTGGTGCCCCGAAGCAATGTCTGGGCTTCACATGCTTGAGGTTCGCTTCGTTCTTGAAGCTGCTTGACGCCGCATACTTTACAGACGTGGGTACGAAAGAGATGCTCCCATGTTGACCGGCTGGCTTTGACCACAGTAGCTGCCAGGTACCAGAATGAAGGCATCCATTCTCGCCAACCTCCATCTCTTCTCTTCCAAGCAGCAGAAGGCGTTGCAGAGTGCCACCTCGCAGCATGCAGCTTCAGTCCCCGGTCAGCCCCAAGGCCCATCCTTATTCCATGGTTTGATTGGGCGCACGCTTGCCTGACATTCTGACCAGCGAAAAGTTCTTGTCCCTGCATGATGGAGGTTGCAGGCTCTGAGAAGATAGGCAGCCGTTTTTTTGATATTTGACGCAAGCGCTGAGGAGTCATGCCACTTCAACCAGCTGCTCCGTTGCAACTAGAGCTAGGCACTTGCGAAACTGAGAAGGTGGATGCGGGTCACATGATCTTAAGATAGGTTGCGCATCGAAATGGCATCGATGTAGAATCAAATTGAATCCACAGCCCCTTCAGCAGATAGTTTTAGTTTCAGTTCTCTGTTGTTTGCATCCAGTTATTGCCTTGTAATTATCCCGTTGCAAAGAGCTCCAAACCTCTGAATGGTTCTTCAAACAGAAAGAGGCTATATGGGGTTGCTAGGCCTGCTAGGGAGAAGGAGGTGGAACCAGAACAAGAATATAGGAACAGCAAGACATAATTAAGAACAGTGTTTAGAAGTACCGCCGTGTTGTTGAGTCGGGTCGATCCCGCCTGGTCTTGGTGA